TTTTGGAATCTTCTGTTCAGCTCTTTAGTATCTTGAATTCTTCCTTGTGCTTTGGCTTCTTTATGCTCCAGTGCAATCTTCAGAGTCGCTTCTGACATCCATTTTGGTCTTTTCTTCCTCTTCTGTCTTTGTAGTGACCGTTTGCATTATTTGTATTCTTTGTATTCTTACAGTATATATTTAAAAATACAGATTTTGCATTTTTCATGTGGTTTAAAATCAAAGGAAGATGTGTAATAAGATAGTATTCTTTTACCTTAGGTGTTCAGTCCGATTGCAGAGCATGTAATCTGAAAAAAAACTTTAAATATGAACACATGATTAGGATTGGATGACATCTAATTGCCTGCTGACATTGAAAAAAATACTTGAAGTATTTACTGTTGTGATTGTAAGGCTATCACCTTCCATATGGATTGTTGTTTGTTCTTATGTGCTGTCGAGTCACCTGCGACTCATAGCGACCCTATGTATAACAGCTCAGAAACTTGCCCTATTCTCAGCCAGTCTCACTGACTCCTACACACCTAAACTTACTGCCTCCGTTATCGTGTGTGTCTAAAACAGTGTCTTCCACTTCTGCTCATCCAGGATGTTCCTCTCCTGCTCTGTCCCTTCACTCTTCTAAGCATGGTGTCCTTTTCCAAGGCCTGGTCCCTTCTGGCCAAATGCCATAGTATGTGAGGTGGAACTTCAAAGTCTTAGCCTCTAAGGAGAAACTTGGTTTCCTCCTCTCCATGACAGACCTATTTGTTCTCCTAGAGGTCTGAGGTATGTCCAGGACTCTTCTCCAGCACCACAACTCAGAGGCATCAGTTCTTCTGCCATCCTTAGTCATCTTCTGGCTTTCTGATGCAATTCATATGGACTACTTCTCATATAAAATAAGAGTCCTCACAATATACACCATTACAGTGTTTATTTGCATTAAAGCAAACAAAGAAAAGATTGAAGTTGTCAAGGATTTAATTTTGCTTAGATCCACAATCCATGCCCATGGAAGTAGCTCTCAGGAAAACAAGGGACCTACTGTACTGGCCAAATCTATTGCATGGGACCTTCATAGAGTATTATAAAGGAAAGGTGGCTCTTACAGGACAAAGGTGGACCAGATCCCAAGCCAGATGACATAGCCTTGGTTATGAAAACTGAGGAGGACTTGCTTCAGAAGGTTAAACACCGTAGCCTTCAGTGTGGATTGCATCAATGTCAGGAAAACAAAAATCCTCGCCCCACTGTAACCATAGACAGTATCGTGATAGATGGAGAGAAGATTGAAACTACCAACTTCATCTTACTTGAATCCACAGTCAGTATATAAGGAGAAGACATATTGTACAGGGATCTTTACAGATTATTGAGGAGCAATGATACCAGCTTGAGGACTAGCGTGTGCCTGGTTCAAAACATAAGCCTTTTCAGTCACTTGCCATGCATGTGAGAACTGGATAGTGAGTAAGGATGACAGAAGAAGAATCGAGGCCTTTGAATTGTGGTGTTGGAGAAGAGTTCTGAATATCCCATGATCTCACAAAAGAACAGACAGATAATGTCTTGGAGAAGGTCCAGCCAGAGGGCTCTTTGGTGGAAGAAAAGATGATGAAGCTTCTCACATTCTGGAGGCGTGTTGGTAGGACAAGTTATTCACTGGAGAATTGCATTGTGCACAGGTGGAGGGACGAAAAGGAGGGGAAGACCCTCAACCAAGTGGATTGACACAGTCACTATAGCAGTGGACGCCAGTGTGCCAGAGATTGTGAAGACAGTACAAGATAGCACAGGATTCAGATCTGTTGTTCATAAGGTTTCTGTGAGGCATATTCGGTTCGACAGAACATAACAAACTGCAACAACAGGCCTGTGCCATCTCATCTTCTCCATTGTTCCCATCACCATATCAGTCCATACTATTATGGGTGTTTCTTTTTCATACTGACTTTGGTTCGCCTGTCCACACCTGATATCCTTCTCCAGGGACTGGTCCCTCTGAACCACATGTCAGAAGGACATGAGAGGGAATTTCCCCATCCTTGCATCCAAGGAATACCCTGGGTTCACTTTCTCCAAGACAGACCTGTGGGCAACTCAGTTATACTAATGGTTCTTTTAAATATGTTCATGTATACATTTTCATCTATATAGTCAGAAAATGTTAACATGAGCAAGCATTCTTTGGACTCTTGACCTGTTTCTTAGCACTGTAACACACCCCCTGGCACATTTAAGTGCTCATTAGAGATTTTTTTAAATTAATTAATTACAGTTCAGTGCTGTCTTTCCTTTATTTTTCTTTTGACAATCCAATGAGCATTAAGAATTAGTTTAAATCAGAACATGCCTAAATAGGAGTTAGAAGTCTGCTGGAATGGTAGTCACTTAAAACTTTTTTGATTTCTCAGTTTCTTAAAGCCATCTGGACAGTCTTCTAATTACAAACAAATGAGTCTATTTTTAAGGCTGAAAAAAAAAATACCATTTCTGGTGGGTGTTTTTGATAATTTAGTTTTAGGCTATCATGACTTGCTTGCTTGGCTAAATATTCCAGTTGTCTTGCAACTTTTCCAGTGTGCTATTGATAATTATATAACCAGTACATAAGAAATGTGGCCTCTTATTTGAGCTCTTGAACCAGCAAGGCCATTTTAACATGCTGGTCATAAAAATGTGCATGCTGAATTTGGGTTCAAGCAGTGCATTACGGAGTCATTCATTGCATGTTTGGAAAATGGAAAGGCAAAAAAAGATAGATTTGTCACATTAGATTATTTTTAACAAAAAAAGACAATTCCAAACTCCCTGGAAAGAATTTCTTTTTTTTTAGCTGGTATTTAATTTGTGAGTGAAGTGAATATGCAAACTTAACACACTGCCTAATTGGCCTATGCAAGGAAGATCGATAACATAGAAATGTTAATTGTTTCAGCTTTACAGCCGAGTCTGAAAAAGAGAAACAAGAGTGGATTGAAGCAGTACAGCAATCAATAGCAGAAACGCTCTCTGATTACGAAGTTGCTGAGAAGATTTGGTTCAATGAGTCGAACAGGAGCTGTGCAGATTGTAAAGCCCCAGATCCTGACTGGGCATCCATCAATCTCTGCGTTGTCATCTGTAAGAAGTGTGCAGGTAATTAGCGATACGTTTTGCCCATCGCTGCCGCATAGTCATTGGCCTTCAAGGTTTGTGGTTGTTTTTTATCGTCAGAGATAATATGTCCCAGCTAATGTTTGTGAAGAAGAAAACTAGAGGGAGCTCATTACATTAAATAAAAACCTGAAAGACCTACAGTCCTAAACTTCTCTTTTGCAAGTCTAAAATGTGAAAATGGATTTTGAAGTGTAATCTTATTCCCATGCCTTCTGATCTATGTATGGATTTAAAAAATACAGCGTTGAATTTTGTCTTTTAATACATGTGTTTTGGAGCGCACCTTAAGGAAACATGCATCTTTGTATGAAAGTTTTATCTGTTTTTCACCCAGTTGTTTTTTAAGACTGATTTTCCACATCAGTGTTGTTTTGCATCCTAAACTTTGTGTACAAAACCCAGTCTCTCTTACAATGTGAACTTTTCTGTAGAAGTATTTCCTAAGAGTTTATGAAAGTGGGTAGTGCTGTCACTGGTTCTCTTATTTTGTCTTTATTTCTTATACTGGACCACCTGACAGTTCAGTATATGTAGATCAGACAGTTGTCCAGGTAAGAAAGAGAAGAAGGAAGCTTGGGTATTCGATCGTAGACATTTTGGAGGAAGTCAGCTAGAATCTCAACTTTACTTTTAAGCCTCCAGTTCCCTCAAAAAAATAGAGTTCACGTAAAATATAGTACTTTTCCTGGGAATTATATGAATAAAGCATGGCTGTACAGCACTTGTTACAGAAGATCAAGGAATGCAGCTTTCAGTATGGATTGTATCTCAATCTCAGGAAAACAAAGATTCTTATTACTGGGCTGATTTGTTACATGTTGATAGATGTAGAGGAGATTGAAACTGTCAACAGTTTCATCTTGCTTAGATACACAATTAACACCCTTAGTACCAGGAATCAGGAAATAAGGAGACACATATGTGCACTGGGAAAATTGACAGTCAGGGACCTTCCCAAATTATTGAGGAATAGTGATGTCAGTTGAGGACTAAGGTATGTCTGATTCAGGCCATAGTCTTTCTGATTATTTGCTATGCATCTGAGAGCTGGACAGTGAATAAGGATGACAGGAAAAGGATTGACACCTCTGAGCTGTGGTATTGGAGAAGAACACTGAACATCACATGGCCAAGAAAGAAACATCCATGTCTTAGGGTGAAGCCAGAGACCACTTTGAAGGCAAAAATGATGAGGCTTTACCTTATATGCTTTGGACATGCTGCTTGGAGGGGCTATGACTTGGGTAAGGATTAGGGTGGAGGGTCAGCAAAGGAGAAGATGACCCTCAACCATGTGGATTGGCATGGTGACTGCTGCAATGGGCTCTTGTGTCTCAGGAAGTCTGAGGATGGCACAGGAAGAACAGAATTCACATCTTTTGTTCATAGGATCTTTATGGGTCATCCTTGACTCAATAGCACCTAATAACAGTAACATTCCCTCCACAGAGAAAGAAATAATACTTAAAGAGTCTGTTGGGTTAAGACCAGAGATGAGTAGAATGTTCAGCTATGAGAGATTCTGCAAGAGCTGTCCTAATACAAGGAGATCAAAGACAATGGATAGTGGTGTTCCAACAATTGTTTTAAATCATTCATACTTTCCTTGAGCTCTGCTATTTTTCCTCATCATTCTGATTCCACCTGAAGTAGCAACATTAACAGTAAAATGTACTGTTGCTATTCTTTGCTTTCCTCTCAACCTTTTTCTCTTACTATTTAGTCTCTTGGTAAATAATGCCTTTGTTCTATCTAAGGCTATTCTTAGTTTTCTTCTTCCTCTTTTCCCATCTCAGTATCCGCATTTCTTCATTCCATTATTTATGCATCTTCTTATATGGGTATTCAGGCACTATTACTGTTATTTTGGCTTGGTTTTTGTATGTGTGTGTCAGCTAATAAACTGGCATCAATCTTTCCTCTTAAACTACCACCAGCAAGGATTTTCCTTTCGTGGACAAACACTTATGAGACTGGTACCCTCCACTGCTGTTTAGATGCTGCCATGCTGCTTCCGGTTCGTAGTGATCCCATGCATTGTGTAACAAAACCCTGCCTAGTGCTGCATTAGCTGTCTTCATTTCTTTGAATGTTGTAGTTTTCCTTTAGGTTCTTATAATCAGCCTTCTTTCTTCTCTACTGCAGTGAAGGAAAGAAAAAAAATGGCCACATGAACCAATGTTTTGTATCTGTCAGTTTCTGTGTGGTCTCTTTTTAGTTGTAATTTCTCAGCAGCATGCGACACCCTTTACCAGCCTACCTCTCTTTTACATCCTTTTGTTGCTTGATATCCAGGATATCATTTTCTCTTTTGTGTATGTTGCTACAAACAGCTTTAGGTCACTTTGCCTCAGTTTGCTTCAGAAAGAACATCTATCTCTTGGTTATAGCTTTTAATTGTTATCCCTGAGTGATTTTATTTGACTGTTTGAATTCAGCACACATTTTAAAGTGGGTATGTCATACTCTGTTAAATACCAAACTACCTCCTGGAATCTCTGGGAGTGTTCTGGTGGCTTATTGGTAAGGAATCGGGCTGCCAATACAAAGATACACAGTTCCAGTCCATCAGTTGCTCAGCAAGAGTGTGATGGGTTGACTCCTCCCATGTGATTAACTACCTCTCAAAACCCACTGAGAGTCAGCTGTGCATTGTTTCCAACTTGACGGTTCACAGGAACAACACTGGAATCGCTACTTGAATTTTACAGTGTTACCTCAAAAACAGCATCAGAAAGCCTCCCTGTTTACAAAAAACTGTTCATTCTTGGGTACTTCTAATCTTCAGTCTTGATCAGAAGCAATATGAGAGCTTCCCTGTGTTGTTATTATTAGGTGAAGTCAACTTGATTTCAACTGATAGAGACCCAGGTGCCAGAATGAACTGCCTGAAAAGGTTTCCAGCAGTAATCTTTGTGGAAACAGATCAAGTCTTTCTCCCACAGATTCTCTAAGGAGATTGGAACTGCCAATCTTCTGTTTAAAATTATAACACTTAAATTATGTACTGCCGGGTCTTTTGATTTGTTCTATGATATTGTTAGATTCTATTGAGTCAACTTCAACTCATAGCAACTCAGTATGTAATGCTGTTGTTGTTGTTGATTGCCATTGAGTTGAGCATGACTCGTAGTGACTCTTTGAACAAAAGGACTGAAGCTTCTCTATAACTGTCATCATTTCTCAGAGTTCATAGAGTCTCCAGAGGCATGTGGTTTAGGAAGTGGATGCCACTTCTGCTTCCAAAGCTTTCTTAAACTGGGAGCTCCACCAAACACTGAGAAGAAAAAAAACAACTCTCCCCAAATGTTCACCTTCCTCATAGTCGCTGCTACTCGTAAGTCCATTGCTGCAATCGCTGTGTCAATCTCTCTCATTGACAGTCTACATTATTATCTAACTTAAACTTTGAAATTTCTTGATCCTTCCCATTTTTTTAAATTAATCAGCTCCCATCAGTTTTATCTTAGTACTTTGTATCATCTCCATTCTATTTCTTTGCTAGTCTTACCTCAGAGCCTCATAATTTCTGAGGGAGCTCTGATAGCCAAGTACTAAATTATTCTGCCATCCCAAAAGCAGATGGTTTGAATCTGTCAGCTGCTCTGTGTAAGAAAGATTCCTTTAGTGGAATTGAAAACCTCAGAAAGCCCACTGGAGGGTCAGCTATGAGTTGGTTCCAGCTTAACAGTACAAAGCAACACCACCATCATTTCTTGTTAAGGATGCTCTAAGATGGCTAGGAGAACAGGTTTGTCCTGGAGAGGGTGAAACCAGGCTGCTCCTTGGAGGCAAGGATTCTGAAGCTTCGCTTGACACAGCTTGGCCATGTTGCAAGGAAAGACCTGTCCTTGGAGAGGTAGATCATGCTTAGAAGGGTAGAGGAACAGTACAAGAGAGGAAAACCCTCGATGAAATGAATTGACTCAGTCAGTGACTGGCATAATGGGGGTGGATGTTTCAGAGGCAGTACATTTTGCTCAAAATAGAGGAGAGTTCAGAGCTGTTGTATATAGGGTTGCTCTGAATCCCAAGCGACTTCATAGCACATAACAACAACAAGAGCAGTGTATATTAGTTCTTCCTGCATTCTGTCAAGTTTGCCCCTTTTATTATTGCCTGCAGGTTGTCTTTAAAAAAAAATTAGACTAATTAAAATTAGGCAAATTTTTGTTCTGAGAATTCTAGGATTTTGTGTTTTGAGTAGTGCTCACCTGCCAGAAAGGACAGAGACAGGAGGAAAAGAAGAGAAAGGAGAGTGGTACAAAGGAAGAAACCTGATACCTAACAGAGGAGTGAGAAGTTTGATTGATGTGAAAAAAACAAAACAAAACAAAGTCCAGTCTCTCCACAACCTTGTCAGCATTTGTTGCTTGCTGTTCTGTGCTAGTCTTACTGGGGTGAAATGATATTTCATAGTTGTCTTGATTTGCATCTCTCTCAGAGCTAGGGATTTTGAACATTTC